CTAGCTTACGAACAAATTGGATGGGACCAGTCATTTTATTATGTGGCGAGGGGCATGCTTCGCTGCCTTCCCATTTCTTTTCCAGTTCCAGCAGGACATGTTTTAGGGCTTAAGGGACATTTTGGTAATATGATACTTCACTTTCTAGTTTTTAACAAAACTTTCCTCGTTTTTTTCCTATACTCTTTAGTTTTGAAATTTGAATAAATACTCTCTTTCCTTAATATCTTCTAATCCCTTTTCTTAATCCAACTCCCTCTCAATTTCTAGAAAATTCAATGCAAAGTATATGAATTACAAACATGTAAAAAAAAAAAAAGACAACCGAAGAACAAAGTAATGGAGATATATTCGTATATATATATATATATATATATCGTAATTAAGCTAATAATGATGGTGAAAATGACATTAGAGTTGTGGTTGAGATGTTATGTAATAAAATACGAACAACATGACCGCACATTCGGTAGCCTCTCTACAAAATATAAATATCCCCACTGTGTCTTTTTGTAGCTTTCCTTGCAAGGCTTTAAATCCTTGACATATCTTAAGGTTTTTGTTGATCATATTGCTGGTTGTTCCAACTGAAATGTGGACAGAAAGGCTCCTTCCAACAGCTAGCCACTGTACACCAACTTGTTTGGTTTGATGTTGACCGCTAAGTTGGAAAAACCTTAGAGGGAAAGGGGAAACTTTCTTTCCATGATGTCTCAGTTAATTACACACAAGCACACACATCTATGGAGCGTTACTTTTATTTTAAATCTTAAATCATACCCTTTACAAAAATACTATGTTCGTTATGAACATTGATTATGTCAAGAAAATATATGTAGTCTATATTTTGAATAATTAATTAATTAATTTTTTATGTTTTACAGTTTAAAATGGTTATTACTGGGTATCAATTATCTGGAATTTGGTTGGTTATTGGAAGAGATGAGTGATGCTTATAAAAGATCTTTTTGTTTGAATTTTTTAATATTTAAATAAATAATTTTTTTATAGAAAATGTAATGATATTTTAAAAAATACTCTAAAAACATACAATGTAGTACAAAATGAAGATTATAAATATTTTATTTGAAGGAATTATGATGAATGTATAATTTATGAGTATTGTCACTTTAAGGAGATAAATGATTAAAATATAATTTTTTCCTTAATAATTTTAATTGAAAAATATTTTTAATATGTATTAATAAAAAATAAATATTTTTTTATATAAACATTAATGTTAATAAAAATATAATAGACACTCAAAGAACTTTTACATGTTATTGGGCTTTTTTTAAGGTTGAGTTTATAAAAGCTAGACTCTTTTTTTTCTATAAGAGTTTGGTCTTGTTTAATATTATAAATTTTTAAAGTTATAATTTTTTTTAAAAAAATGTATTAAATTTAAGTTTATAACATACCATCAAAATAGCCTCTTCTGCTACTTGTGTAGCTAAAGACAGAGCACCAAGAAATTATTGTAGGGGGGAATGTTTTTCTCACTTTCTTATGCTTGGCTAAAATTAAAAAAATTGATAAATAAAAATTATTCTCGAGTCAAAGGCAAAACAAGATTTAAAATTAGTTAGAAAAGATGGGCTAACCCATTATTCGGACCCGTGTTTTCAAAATCCCGTCCAATAAAGCCCTTGTTTTTAATTCGGTCAATTGAATACGCATATGTTCTCTTTCGATCAATTGAGTATAATTCCCAGAAACCAAAAACATTTGTACGTTGATCAAATTCTATATATATATATATATATATACATATAATCTCTTTTTGTATACTTTTATGGGGCCCGCTGCAATATTAGATTATTTTTTGAAGTCAAGTGCCAGACAGACGCATTACTTCTTCTCTAATATAAATATCGTATGTGGATACCACAACATATGAATACATTATTTTTTAACTTTATCTGTGTACAAAAATATTTTATTTTATTTTTTGTTTTTTTTGTATAGCCTTTGGAAAAAAAAATATTTTATCTTTGGAAAATTATAGTCTGAAATTGAAAATATACATGTTTAATTCACTGAATTAAAAATACAAGGGCTTATTTGATATTGTTTTCTAAAAAACACGGCCAAATAATGGGTTTGCTGAAAAGATTAGTAGAGGTAAGCATCTCATGAATTTACTCGTAAATATGGGTTAATTATAAATTAGCACCTTTAGTCTTGAGAAACGAATCAATTAGTCTCCTTGTTTCAAAAACCTAAATTATTTAGTCAATTGACTAGTGTTGACAATATTTAATTTAATATTATTTTATTCTGAAAAATATCTTCTTTCTTTCTCGATCTTTCTATAATATCTATTTTTTCTTTCTTAAGAAAATAACATAAAATACAAAAAAAATAAAAATGATTTTATGTATGTGATATAAAAATAATAATACTAATAATAAATTGCTTATGAAAATTCAATTTATTTTTTTATTCTTGAAATTTTTAAATAGATTTTTAACATAATTTTATCATATTTATGATATTTTTAACGTTTAATCATGCATAAAACACACACGCACACATGTTTTTTTATTTTTAAAAAAAAATTACTTTAACAATCATAAAATGTTTGGTTTTCTATAAAAATGATTCCTGCTAAAAAAAAATGTATTTGATGAAATCAACATGAGATATATTAATAAGAAAAGTCATCATGGTTGATTTTTTTTAAAAAAAAACAACAACAGTGTTTTTGGGTTAATAATAGTGTCAAGCAATTCCTTAAGATTTATATTCTTTTTCGCGTTTAAAAAAACTTTATCCTCTTGCAATGTAGTGCGGACATATAAATTAGTGTATTCTATTTCCATAATAGATAATACTAATTCATGCTCTCCATCGCAAATTAAACTAAATTATTTTAAATATAAAAAAATATAAAAGAATGAATTTTTTTTTGACAATGTTGCTAAATCTGACCAAATCAATCTTGAAACATTTTAATTGAGATTTTTGTTTAATTAAAGTTTTTAATTAAACTGTGTAAAAGTTAATCTAACTTAAATTGATTAATTTTATGGATCTAAATACAACCTTGATGACGAATAAAAATATAGTTTAACTTTAAAAAAACTTCAAGATAATAATTTTTAATATTAAAACAATAATAGATTGGATTGATCTTAGTTCCCTTGTGACCTGTGTCATGAAATCTATTGGTTTAATAATTTATTTTATATACTATTTTTATTTAATTATATGATAAAAATAAATGCTTATAAAATTGAATGTCAACCTAAAAACAGATACCTATCTGAGATAATAATAACCTTATAAAAAACAAATAAAAATAAATCATGCAACCTATTTTTTAACCAAAGCAATATTAAAGGATGAAATAAAAAAATATAAATTAAAAAAATTAAAAGAAAAAAAACATATTTAGTTGGCAGTTAAACTTGTCAAACTTATGAATTGGAAAACCTGAGTTAGCGCACCAAACTTGTAAACCAGATTATGATTTCTATTGGGATTATAATTTGTTTTTTTTTTCAAAATTATTTATTATTTAATTATATAATAATAAAAATAAACAATCACAAAATCAAACACTAACCCAATATTGAGTTTTTTTTTTTTACACTAAGATAATCTTATAGAAAATAAAATAAAATTAATTATGAAATTGAATTCTCAATTAACCCAATATCTAAGGATGAAATTGAAAAAAATAATTAATAATACGGTTTTTCTCTTAAAATATTTTTTTTAATTGTATATGGGGTAGATGATAAAATAAAGTTAAGTTTAATTTGAAAAAAAAATCACCAAACTCATAAACTGAGACAACCTATATTACTCTGAAAAGCTCACAAATCACACTTAACTTTATAAAAAAATAAAAATAAAAACTAAATTTCTAACTACTCTAAAATTAGAAAATAAAATCGATAAAAATAAATATTTTTAAAAATTATAATAAAAATTCAATGAAAAAAAAACCATGCATTCCTATTGTAATTTATAATGTAATGAGTGTGATGAAAAGTGGTTTCCTCGTTGCCTTTAGTTTTTGTTTACTAATACTGTTTCTACAACATTAATCTTGTTGCTGCGTATCTGCAAATTAAATGCATGATTAACATCCATCCTTCACACACACACACACACACAGCTAAGAATGTTATTTCCACTTGAACATGATGTCTGTTTGCAAAGCAAGTTTGTGTGGTAAAACTTAAAATGATTATATAACCGTTGTGCAATCTGCCGGAGACCGATTTGGAAATGGTCAAGCTTGGGCTCTGGTGATCGGACTGCAGTTCCTGTAAGGACGCCTAACTTGGGCTATTAGATTGGTGTCAGCCAGGAGCCCAGTAAAATCATCTTTCAGTTGCACAATCGGATGATTGGTCTGGACTGCGGTTCCTCGTTAAGCCTAGTAAATTATTTTCGGTTGCTTGGAGGCCAGCCACTTGTTAGGGCAAAGGACGTATTTGACCTGGAAGTACTATAACGTGAATATAGATGAGAATATTGTTATATTTTTATTAAGATTAAAATTTTACATTCACCCCGTAAAAGAGAGTACAATCGAGATCAGAACCTTTTTGAGTATTTTTTTCTTTTAGAAACCTGAAATCGCAGAATCCGAACTAGAAAGCCACGAGAGATTTCAACAAACCGCACGCTGTGCTGCTCTCTGATTTACCGATTTATTTATAACGAATAATAATTAAAAAGAAAAGAAAAAAAGGAACGAAACGACTCTCCTCCTCCTAGAGTTGCTGCAACGTGCACTGGTTGCCATTGCACACAAATTTCAACCCTCTAACCACCATTGAAATTATCGTACCAAGCAAGTAGTCCATTACAGCACTTCACTTTTCATAGCTGTGAATCATGGGGATTACGACGAGAGAAAGTCCATCCATCATCATTTTTTCATTTTATTTTTATAGAATAATAGTCCAAACAGCAAAAGTTGGTTTGAAAAACAAAGCATAATAAACAGGACCACTCCAGTGTAAAGTTGGTTTGAAAAACAAAGCATAATAAATAGGACCACTCCAGTGTAAAATTGTCAAATTGAAAAAGCCATGCCCAGATGATTGCTTCCTCTTCACTGCTTCTCCTTGACGACTGTCACAGGGCATGGAGCATGGGTCATCACATAAGTGCTCACACTCCCCAGAAGTATCCTGTTTTCACAACACGACCCCAAGACAAGCACATAAATCATCTACTTATTTGTTTTTGGAATCGATCTTTTTAGTATCATGTAATTAGTAATATAATTGTAGATTGATTAATTAAAAAAAGGATTTCAGAAATATAATTATTAATACCTTCGGATGGTGCCAAGTCCCCTGCTTCCCATGACCAATGAGTCGAGCTTCAGATCATCGATAGCATCAAGGAGCTTCTCTCTGGCATCTCCTCCCCAGTACAGTTTTGAAACAACTTTCACCTATATATTTTTTTGAAAACAATTCAATAACAACTCGTCGAACACGCAGATCAATTCAATACTAGTAACCAAGCTACCTAGCTAGCCAGTACCTCTTTCTGTCGTGAAATGGTGTCAAGCATATCAAGAACTTCAATGTCTACTTCGACGTCGTACTTCTTCAAAATCTCGGGCTCTCTAAACTCAGCCAGAGGAATAAGAGCTAAATCATCAAGAAATTTAAGAACACAGATCAGATAAATATGCATGCGTGTATGGTTTTTAACTAAAAGGGATTTCAACTAATTAATTACTTACGAGAACCAGACTTAGCAAAAAGCTGGTTATGAGAGTTGGGATTGATGTGGATGAGATAAAGAGTGTCGCCATTATCGACCAAGTTATCAATGGCCCATTTGAGAGCGTTCTTGCTGCTAGGCGAGAAGTCCATAGCCACACCAATGTTTCTATCTCCCGTCATTTTGATCTTCTTCTCTGTCTTGGTATGAGGTACAAGAACAAGGTGTTGGCTGCGTGAGAGAAAGCAAAAGGAGAGAAACCTTGTTGTCGTTGCGTTTGGTTCTTGTTTCCAAGGGTAAGAGAGGATTTCTATTCCTTTATATATGGAAACCAGGTGACCACCGTCTTCTGTTTTTGTGGGGCCCTCTCCTTTTGATACTTTCCATCTTGGCCGTCCACCTCCGCATTTGGCTCCCTTTGATTCTCGATACTATTTGTTTTTCCTGCTGCCAGCGCCATGCGGGCCCCATTTAGCATAGCGCAAAAGGTAGGGATTGGTCACAATTTGAACTTTTACTTTTCGAGAAAACTCTGTGTGTTCAAAACTAACGCTGTATTACCCATGGTTATCAGACTCGGCAAGGAGTTGATTCGGTTAATGAATCGGATTTTGAGTAATATAGATTAGTTTAGATAAATTAATTTTTTCTTTTTTTTTTAAATTTTAATATTTTATATAAAAATATTAAAAAAATTATGTTATAATAAAAAAATTCAATATTTTATATAAAAATATTAAAAAAATTCTTATATTTTCTTTTTAAGTTGAAGTTGAAGTATTTAAATTAATTTTTATTTTATAATAAAAAAATATAATTTTTTCTTGTAAATATAAAATATATAAGGATTTAAAAATTCACATTAAATAAATAAAATATTCTTCAAATATTTATATAATGAATTTTAAAAAATATTAATAACCAATTATTTTTAAAAAAAAAATTAGCTGAGAAAAAAATATATTTGAAAAAAAATCTTCACTAGTTTTTTTTAAATTACTTGAGTTATGGATCAATTAACCAGATTTTATTAAATTTTTACTTATAACGATTTTTTATCTTATCAGACCGGTCGAATCATAAGACCAGATGTGGGTTTAATAACCTTGGTATTACGTTAATTACCCACCCAAGTAGAGTTTCTGACACATACCATCTTTCAGTTTTTCACTTTTCGAAAAAATTGGTCTTAGAAAAAATTAATTAATTATTTCTTAACTAGTATTAATTAATTAATAATCATAAAATTGAAGAGCAGGAAGCTGCTATGAAGTTTCCTCTGTCCTTGTCATGTGGTGTATCCAAAAACAGTTGTCCTTCCTGTCCAATTTAAGAAATAAAAAAAAAAGAAGTTAAAGCCCCTTCTTTTAAATACGAGGATAATTAAAGGAATAATAATGGCTAGCATGCGACGATCGAAACAAGATCTGAAAGCAAAAGGCAGTGGAATCAATCAGTGCAAAATAAATAAATAAATATTAAATTCAGCAGAATAATTTAATAAATAAATAAATAAATAAATAAATTCAGCAGAATAATTATCAAATGTGCACGTCAAGAGATGGAGGCATTCAGCGAAGTAATTAACACCAAAATTTGCGCATCGTCGTCTTCTTTTTCTTTGTCTTGTCCATGAAATCATTAAAGATTTCCATCGTTGCCTTCACCTGGGATTCATCTAGACATTCAAATGCTCAGCCATTTTTTTAAATTATATTCTCGAAATAGCTTTATCTAAATGGAAGCTATTTCTTTTTCCCTCATATAATTTTAGGGGTGTATTTTTTATATTGTCTTACATTATTTGATGCATTTAAAATAATAAATTCTCCTGAAGAATAACTCTACGATTTGAAATTAAAAAAAAATCTGTTTAACCATAAATATTCTTTAAGAATATAATATTAGCAGTATTGTTTTAGTGCTTTCGAGGGATAGTTTTTAATATTGTTAAAGACCTTAGAGTGAGAACTTCGGCCAAAATGCACAAGCACGAGCTTGCCCTCTCAGCAAGCTTATTAAACTAATAATAAAATGCAAATATATATATATATATATATATATATAGAGAGAGAGAGAGAGAGAGAGAGATAGTTTTTTATCTATTGGGATGTTGATTGTAGGTGACCCGTTATTAATTGAATTTATGTATTAAAAATAAATAAATATCTTGCTTTCTTTTCTTGAACTCAAGCATAACAATATAGGAACAAACTCATTTTGAAATACCGGCCGATTTAGCCCTTGTATTCTCGTAAAGTCATAAAATTAGCCCTACTTTGTATTTGTCATGTTTTATCAAATTGGACTGAATTGTAAATAAAATATAAGGAATTTACCCTATAATGAATACTTCATTATCTATAATTTAGTCCAACTATGTTGAATTGATGAAATGCGATAAATTGTTGAATTGTATTCGTCATGTTGAATTTTATTTTATCTTCTTGTATTTTTCTTTTTCTTTAAAGTTAGTCCCAAAGAGTTGCAAAATTAAGGGACTGTCATTATCATCTCTGAAGCATTCACAAGATAAACTCGTAATATTTGCTACCAGTTGAACCCGTCACCTCGTGGATGACACCAGGGAGCCACTACTAGTAGTGCCTTATTTGGCGTGACGGTAGATTTAAAAGTTTTTTAATTTTTTTTTAATTTTAAATTATTATTTTATTATTATTTTAATGCAATGCTGTTAAAAATAAATTTTAAAAAATAAATAAAAAAATCTCAAAACTCCAAACTTTTAAGTGAGAGGATAAACGAATGAATTTACCTTGGGCCCATTGAAAAGAAAGAAAAAGGAATCAAACTATCAATGTCTAGCCTAGCCGAAGAAACCTGTCAAGTACTTGAATAACTTTCTTCCTAAAAGAAAGAAAAAGGAATCAAACTATCAAGTACTTGAATAACTTTCTTCCCCATGCTCAAGTGCAGAACAAACGAAGCAAGGAAGGAACTTCTCGAAAGAAGTCATTCCTATTTCCTGTTCATCGAGCTTGAAAACAAGTGACAGACCTGAAGATCCTAGAGAAGCCTATGGAAGGTGATCTGTTGCGATGGCAATAAGAAAGGCAACGAGCTATGGCCACCGACGGTAACCGATGTATAAGACACATAGATCCATTCCTTTTATATTGACAGCATCAGCGTTGGAAGTTTGGAGTCGACATGTTTGATCCCAATAAACAAGACTTGCAGCCTGCTAAATCGTAAGATGAACCCAAGTTCCGAACAGCAGCAATATCTCACAAAGTCCCTTCTGTATGCGCCTCAATGGCAAAATTCAAATCAATTCTCACGATTCCGTACAGAAATATTTTGTATAATTTACACAAATAACCTAAAACAGTGAAGATTGTATGAGACAATGGACATATTTCAAACTCGAGGAAAATCTAATGCCAACTGCTGTAAGCCATGTTTCATCCAAATAGACGAATACCAAAAAGGATTTAACTACCACTACAAACGGTGAGAAGGAGCTTCTCATTGGACAAAAAATAAGCGCCTGTAGATGGGCATCATCACCATTTTTCTGGATCAACAAACTTCACAACTCACGCGGGAAATTGTTTATGTGTCCTTCCTCCAGTGTATCTTTGTTGTTGATCTTGTATGATATCCTTGTGCGCATCACGAGGGATTTCTGAAAACATGATTTTCGTAACGATCTAATATCATCCACAGCTTAAAAACATATTATTATAATTAATTATGAGATATGAACCAGGAAAACATGATGAAGCAATATACAGCAGCTGTTCCTAATCCCAATTGCCTTAAATAATTTTTTGATCAGAATTCAGAAATATCATTTATTACGTGAGCAGACTCCTCACATCATGCCTTTTCAAGCTTAAATAAAGCCCTATGCTGTCTGCTTGCACTAATATTTACTGGGCTGGATGTTCCATGCTACAGATACAGGTAACTAGTAGCAAATTTCGATTCCCATTTCACCAAACCTTGATCATTATTGGGTTCCCAGAATCAAGCATCATACATAACAAAAACCAAGCATATTAGTTAGTCTCCCAGCCAAAGACCAAATTAATTTCAGCAGTAGGAATAAACTTCACCGGAGTTCAATGTGAAATGATGTTCTCCTGCAACCTCAGTGGCTCGAGTTGACAGCAGCTCAAAATTACAAGACTAAAGTACATTCAAGCATAATTGCAGATACTCATTCAGAAAATCACATTCACTAGAAGCTACTAGTTCAATGAAAGCTGTTTCCATTCCGGACAACGGCTTTATGAAACATCTAGGCATGCTTAAGGCTGGACAATGGCTTTAAGAAACATCTAGGAGTGCCAGGTTGGGCTATTTTCCGGACAACGGCTTTATGAAACATCTAGGCGTGTTTAAGGCCGGACAACAGCTTTATGAAACATCTAGGCGTGCTTAAGGCTGGACAACGGCTTTATGAAACATCTAGGAGTGCCAGTTGGGCTATTTAGTTTTTAAGAGAATATATTATACTTAACAACCTCGTAATTCATAGAGTCAACCACATTGATGGAAATAAAATTTCTTCAGTACACAAAAATAAAACTTGTAGCTATTCATCAGAAATTTGTACTCTCCCACTCTTAAGTGACCATATTTCTATTTTAGTTTGTCCTGAAATACATCAGTAAAGAGTTAATTATTTTATTTCTTATTCCCCTCATTAAACACTAGATTTAAAAGATTACTGAGTAAGATAACAAGGGATCAGTTAGGAAGAAGCCAAAAATATGTGAGATGAAAGAATTTATCGAGTGGGTGAAGGCAAACAGGACACTCAGTGGGATGGAGAGAGTGCCAAGAGAATATTACATGGTAATACAAGAATGCTTGTATGATGCCATGAAATCCAGAAACTGAAGTGAATGCAATTTTAGATGACTATATAAGAGATATACCTTCCCATGTTGGTTATTAGTAACTCTCATATTTTGTGTAATGGATCCATTACCACTTGCAGGAAGAATATTGCTGCTAGCTGGGTCTAGGTGCAGTTGAAGAAACTGTAAAAGGACAACAGAAGAAAAGGAGAAATATCATAAAAGTATGTGGGCCAAAGAAAAAGATATTATAGGAAAGCATGGTAGAGAAAAAAAGAAAAAAAGAAAAAAACAGACTGAACTACATCTGAATCTACCTTTGGAACTGCTGCCTGAAATATAAAATCGGTGAAGACATTGGGTGTCAAGTTTGTGAAAGTTGCCTGGACTAATGTTGTTTGTGGGTTTCCTGGTTGCTTTGAGAAGTTGAATGTTATTCTCAAAGAGCTACTCTCAAATGCCACGAAAGGTGGATAAAC